GTTCTGATGATGCCTGATACCTGATCCCTTCGGCACTTCGTGATCACACTGGCTGGTGTGCTTCTTCCATGTGAAAAGGTTTGTTGCTTCTGAGCTTGATGGCTGCTTGTTTACCTTCAAGCCTTTAAGACCCGACGCTATACTTTTTGATAACCGGGCACCATCAGCTTTCTTCGCCACATTTGCTTATTCCATTGGACACCTCGTGATCACACAGGTTGATATGTTGTTCCATGTGGGCTTTGTTGCTTCTGAGCTAGATGGCGGCCTTCCCCTTTTCAAGCAAAGCCAGAAACCTAGATGTTTCTATGAGATAACCTGTTTTTTTTGTTTAAAAAGGATGGTAAGGTATGAAAATAGAATGCATTAAAAACTGCATTAAAATAGTTTTTTTTTTTAACCCAAAAGTACAATACTGGATGCCTGGGCTTAGAGACACAGTCCCGCGTTTGCAACCTCTTATCTTCCCAAGTGCAGGAAAGCAGAGCTCTCTCTTTTGGAAAACAACTTCTCTCCCGGCTACTGCCCCGCCCCGCCCCGGAGTTGCTCCTCCCCCAACGCGCCCGCAGCGGCAGTGGGGAAGCGGTGGCGTTGGTCGTCGGCCCGCGGCTGGCCAGTGCCTGCAGAGTGCGTGGGCGCTGAAGCCGGGACGTGCTGACGTGTCACCCGGAAGTGGGGCTGGCGCAGGGCCGCCATGTTGCAGCAGGTGAGGGGCTGTGGGCTTCTGGAGAGGGCGGCCGGGGCTGCCGTGTGCCGAGAGCGCTGGTCGTGGTCGCGGAGCCGGGGGCCCGCGGCGCGGCCCGCTCCCGCCGCTGGGGGAGGAGCGGCCCGAGCGGAGGGAGGGCCGGGGGAGGACGGCGGGCTGGGGTCTGGCGGGGCGCTGGACAGGCCTCGCACGCTGGGCCGGCTCCGCGGAGAGGCGCGGGGCGGGGCTGGGCGCGGCTGTTCGCGGGGCGGCCTGGCGTCTGCAGAAGCGCCCTGTCACTTGTCAATCGCCGCTGTGCGCGGTGTCGGATTCCCGGGTGCAGTTTGGGGGTGTTTCGTCTGTTCACCCCTTGGCGGTGCATGGGGTGAGGGGAAGTGGACGTCGGCCCTCGCCCAAGCCCTCACTGGCCCCTAGAGGCTGCCTCGCTAACCGAGCTTTGATGGTGATTAATGGTCCACGGAGGCGATGTTTCTGCGCTGCCTTAGAGGGTCCTGACTCGGAGCGATTGGATGGCACTGGGTTTTTCGGAAGATGATGGCATTGATACCCTTCGAGTTAATTATAGCCTGTATGTTTAGAGCCAGAGATTAAAAATCAGCCCCCAAAGTTAACTCCTTGCTGTGGAGCAATTCCGATTTATGGCTATCCTATGGGACAGAATGGACCTGCCCGATAGGGTTTCCAAGCTGTGAACTTTAGAGAAGCGGACAGCATCTCTCTCCTGTGGAGTGGCCGCTGGGTCCAGACCGAAGACTTAATTTAGTAGCCGACCACTGCTTGGTGAGGGACATTTAATAATCTTTTTATTTTATTTTATTTTATTTTTTTTAACATTTTATTAGGGGCTCATACAACTGTTACCCCAATCCATACACACATCAATTGTGTAAAGCGCATTTGTACATCGTTTCTCAAAACATTTTCTCTCCATTTAAAC